GAGCTGCGATGATGATGGCTTCAGGGCTTCCCGCCCGCGCAGTGAACGAGTGCGGAACGAATGGCGATATGTAGTTGCCTTTATTGATGCTGCTGTGCGAAATGTTCACAAGGCTTGTGTACACAATATACCCATCCCCCACCCGCTGCAAGCAAGCGTCTATCGCCGGTATTCATCTCCTTGCGCTGAACGTTCCCATGCCCTTGGCCCAGCTGTTGCTAATGCTTTTCCACAGAACTCCATGAAAGAATCTCTCCGCCGCCACTGGGCTCACACTCCGTCGAGACTCTGTCCCTGTAATAGAAGTCCACAGGTCCGATGAAGAGAGTGGTCTGCATCATGAGGTGCCTCATCTCATCCTATGCAACCAACATACCATCCACTAGCCTTCCGGAAAGCACGCCTGTCTCAATCGCGGGAAGGAAGTCTTTCTCTGGGACCTGCCAGGGCACCCATTGTTCATTTGAACATCGGGATCAACCGGATCGCCGGAAGTCACCTTGCGGCGGTGCGTCATACAGCTTGACAGCTTTAGGGATTTCACCCACATCTGATGTTCCGGACATTTGTCAGTTCAGGTCCTCGTTATATAGATAAGGAAAATCGTTTGGCGGTGTGTTGTCGGCTAGTGCGTCATAGGGCCTCAACGAATGTGTTCCATCCCGGTTCCCATGGACAGAAACCATGCACTGCCAAGGCCTTTGAACCCCTCCCCCACCATGCAACGAGAGGTCCGATAGGTCAAGCCGTCTGCCCAAGCCCCTGCTTCCAAGGCACCACGCGAAGCACCTGGAACGAGAGCCATCTTCAAGGAGGGGGCACATTTCTCTGCTTGCTGGGAAATGTGCCTAGTGCAAAATTCGATGGCTTTCAGCTGGGCCACCTTGATCCATTCTGGCCGAAACTGGCTGCAGCGGCTCATGGCAGCGTCGCGGTACTGAGCAGGCGTGTCAGATCTTCGGACAGCAGCCCAGATACTTACCAATGCCAAAGACGCCACAGGTCCACCCAGCCTCATAGTAGGGTGATCTCTGGCCTGTCTTGTCCTGCCAGAGAGCGTTCAGCAGCTCCTGTGTACCACATGTCCTCGACAACATGCTCCTTTCTGTCAAGTATTCGCGCAGACGATTCGGAAGCTTCCATGGTGAAGACACGCACTCCAGCATCGGTGTCCTGAGCTGCGAATATGATGTTGGTCTCTTATAGCAGCCATGAAGGCTCACGCAAAAGCGGACCAAGTGTCATCTGCATCCAACCACAGGTCATTCAAAGGCACGGCATAAACCTGAAGTCACGTCGTGCACATGAAGCCATGCAGACAAGAACTCTCCATTGTGCTTGGGCCTCGCTCATCTTGCGCATGATGTCCAGCGCGTCACTAACTTCCAGGTTTCCCTTCAACAAGCCTCAGAATGACTCTCAGAAAGAGCCTCAACAGGCAGCTGAAAACGACGGCTGAGAGGTGTGGAACGGCGAGGTCGCTACTGTTTTGCTCACAATTCTTAGCATCCAAGTCTGTTCCAAGCCACATTCAAGTCTCTCCAAGTTGACGTTCAGCTCCTGCTCACTTGTGTGTTCACAGAGCAAGCACAGGGCAACCAACCATCTCCCTCCAGCTCTCAGTGTGGTTCTGCCCCTCCTCCCGACCCCCCTTTACCCCGCGCCACAGTCCTTTGCAACAATGGGAAGCGGCCTTTTCAGGTCGTTGGCCTCGCTGAGGAGGCACGCACCCATGGCCTGGCAGAAAGGTCATCGGTGCCCAGACACTGGTGGATGGGAGCCAACCCCCTGGGAGCGGCACCTTCACTTGTGTCACTGTGTCCTCTTCTGAGAGGAACAGGGCAGTGTCGTTCCATGCCCTGCACGAGTCAAAAAAAACGGCTAACATGAGGCGTTGCATAGCCGCTTCAGGCCTCGTCAAGTCTGGCGGTGTGTTGACCTCATGCCATCCGCCGAAGACCATGGCTAGGGAGATGCAGATGCCCTGCCAAGTGAGGAACAATGGAGGATAGCAACGGATCACGCTCTCTGGCCTCGTCGGCCATGAGTTGGAGCAGATCGCACAAGCTGGCCCTGGCGTTGCACAGCTTTGGCAACAGTCTGGTCACACTGCTTTCCCTGTCGAACGTCTTGACGCGCTGTGGACTTGAGCTCAACACGAGCTCGGCCTGCGGACGGGTTCCAGCCACCAGGGCAAGCTCCACGCTTGGCCCGTTTGACCGGTACAGGACTCGTCCTCCTGTCACATCTGCCGGTTGTGTGCACTGCACAGAATTTCGCAGACATGCTCATTCGATGCTCCTGGAAGAGCCGACCCATCACCTCCTCCATGGTGGCCCTCCCGGACGCAGAAAACTTCATCAGCCTCGGTCCAGAACGACGAGCCCACCCCAAGAAAATACGCAAATCAAGGACAAAAGGACCAAGCTGCGGCCAGGAAGCCCTGCAAACTCCCCAGAGCAGTCACACTCGCTCACCCGTCGCCCTTTGCCAATTCGGCGGATTGCACGATTAGGTCCAGTGCCGCTGGCAGCAACAACTTCGACCTCCAAAATGAGTGAATTTCTGTAGGGGGATCGGCTACACGGAGGCACGGAGCTGCAGGAAAAAGCACGAAAAAAACACGAAAAACAAAGTGCAAAGCGCGAAAACACGAAAAGAATAAACGTGAAGTGTGCGACATCACGAACGCAAAGAGTGCACAACGCATCAACTTCTTGTATTTCCGATTGGTGGGGTCTTTTGCGCTTGTACCATTGTATAATATACTTATCTATATATATATAGTCATTTAAAGATAGATAGATAGATACATATAGATAGATATGTAGATAGATTCACAGGGTATACACTTTTTGTAGCATACATACTGCGTGTTTGTTTATAGTACATATGAGGATCTAAGGTTTGCTGCTACAGATACTACACATAGTACACAAACCACATATGGTACAAAAAGTACAAAGAATGATTGTAACGTTTCAAAGCCTAAGCTTTTTACAGCAGCAAAAACACAAACCCGAAGAGTCCAGTTAGCGGCGGAAAGTGAGAAAAAACGAAGAACTCGAAAAGCACGAACATGCAAAACATGCGAGACATGCGAAAACTTGAAACATGCCGTTTAAAAGCACGAGAAAGGCAAAAACTGAGAAAATTGCAAGAAGCGCAACAAGCACAAAAAGCGCGAAGACGCGAAAAGCACAAACAACCCATCGGCCTCTTGCATTGTCCCGATTGTTGGAGAGCTTTTGCGCTTGTAGACTTCTCTAGTGTATTGATTGTTTCGACTGTTGGTTTTTGCTTGACTTACTGCGAGCAAGGGGGTGATGCATTTCAGCATCCGACCCAGCTTAGGTGCGAAGCTCCAGGCCTTCCTGCCTTCCTTCCCGCAGTCGCTACTCTTCATCCTCTGAACCCTCGTGCTCCGATGTACAGCCGGGCCGCATAAACCCCAAAAAAGACCAAACACCCCCCCCCCAAAAAACTTCCCCTGAAACCTCCCAGAAACCCCCGGCACAATATGTCGGCGCCTCGTGAAAACCCTTGGATTCCTTGCCGGGCGCCGCTGCGTTGACGACCGCCGCGATGCCCCCTGTGGTCTCCAGGAGTTGCCTCGCCACCTCGGAAGGCGAAGAAGACCTAAAAAAAAGCTTTGGGCGTGTGATATCTTATGTTCTACGAAGTTCACATGCTACATAGATATACGATGTGCGTAAAGGCACATGCTTCTAGGTAGGGCTCTCTATGCTCTCCTGTGCATCGGCGAAATTCACATGCAGCTGTGGCATCGGCGCTATGGCGGAAGACGATATCGCCGTAGCCTAGGCCCACACAAGGAAACAGAAGAGGCTTGCTCCCAGCAAACAAGTCTTTTGAGCGTTGGGCGCTGAAAGCACAGAGAGATAGAGAAAGAGAACATCTTCACAGAGAGCTTCCTGAAGCTTCCGAGCGGCAAACGAGCAAGGGCCCAGGTTGGATATGGGGCAGCGCGAGGCGCAAGCTCTCCAGCATGCCAGTCGTTGCAAAATCTGGGCAGTCAATCCTCAGAGCATCTCATGCAAGAGATGCAGGAGATCCCTCTCGGAGTATCTTTCTTCATCCGATTTTGTGGGCAGGCTTTGCTTGGACATGCAGCCCAAGTCTCAATTGAACTCCTTCTCCTAGAGAGCTCAAGTGCTCATCGAATACATCGCCTGCGAAGAAACTAGCTGGTAGCTGACCACTCGACATTTGCAAAACCACGGAGAGCCCGCCGGCCTTTCCAGCCACGGCACAGGTAGAAGCTTTGCACCCCTTGCCGGCGTAGCGTGGAGATGGTGTGAGCTACGATGGACTTGCCACCGATGGAGATGAGTGCCTCCCGAAAGGCAGCATCAAGACATCCACACATCCCTGCTCAATGCCACACACAACCACGTGAAAGATGAGGGAATCTGAAGTGAAGGCAGACAGGAGGGTGAGAATGAGGAAACTTAAGGAACCCCCCGCCCCCCCGGCCGTCGGGAGCGCATCCGTGTAGGGCACAAGGCGAGAGCCGCGGCCCGCCGCCAGGATCACCGCCTGCTTCGGTCGCTCCATTTCGTCCTTTCGGAGTTGCGTCGAGAGCAAATCGAGAACGAGCCAAAAGGGTTCTCCATGATATAACGTGACATCTCATGCACACTCGTGCCTTGCAGCCATTCAGCATTGGGGTAACGTGGAGCGGAGTAGGGTGTCGGCTGAGACTTCGCTCTGCCGCTTGTATTTACTGCTATGAACATGTGCAGATTTGCTTCTCATGCTGAGCCATGCGGTCGCTTCCGTTCGGCAGAGAGCCACAGCTGCGGCGCGGGCTAATCCAGACACGGCACACAAGAGCAGCTACACTGCTGCACAAGAGATCGCCAAAAACAAGCACACAGCAAGTCTTGCCACCCCATTCCTACTACATTGCCATGGTGCTAGATGTCGCCGCCACCGACATCTGCCATGGCAAACCCCGCTCGCGTGGCTCTCTTGTCCTTGTCCGTCTGCATGTAAGAGCCGTAGGCCGGGTTCATCCTGGACTTTGGGTTTAGGGAGCAGCTGGGTCAACTCGCGGCGCGCAAGCGTGTTCAGCGGCACTGGAGCACTTGGCGGAGGAGGAAAGCCCCAGGGTCGGGATCCTGGCAGCAGCTGCGGCAGACCATGCAAGAGGGGGGGAGGCTGAGCTAAATGATGGGCGTATGGCATCCTACGCGACGGGGAGCTACGTGGAGGAACTCTGCGTACATACTTTAACTACTCGAAGTTGAAGCTCATCAACCCCCCCCAATGTCCACCCGCCCTGGCCTTGACTGTGTTCATCATCCATCTTTCGAGATCGGCCTTCGCAGGCCATGGCCTTCGGATTCCAATGGCTTCTTTCTGGAAACCAGCAATGGGAAACAGGCAACCGAGTCCCAGACTCGGAATCGGAATTCATGTCATGAGATTTGCCAGGGAAGTCGCAGCTAAATGCTGGAAAACGAAGCCAGGCAGGGCAGAGGCATGTAACATCAGTAACATCCCCAAAGTGCTGCCACTCCACTCCCCCGAGCTAGCCCATCAGCTTGGCCTCAAGAGAATGCTATGCAGCTCTAGCAGCAGCATTGGCAAAAGAATCACTGAAAAGTGCTGGTTGCGTTCGCGCGAGAAGTGCTAGAAAGAAAGTAGAACACCTCGGACCCCCCGGACCCGAAATCAAGTCAAAAACGCTCACAAACACCTCAAATACCAAACATTGTGGCAGAGCACCATTTTCTGGGTTCGTTGAAAACCGTCAAAAAAAAGGTCTAAACCGTGTGGGCTAGTATCACTTCTCAACCCCGTCTACAGCTTGCCAAGCACACATGAAACGCTGGGGGGGTGGCAGGGGGGGGCGTCATCTTTCTGCGGAGAAAGGTTGAAGTTCAATATTGGAATATTGAACATGGCTGGAATCGAATTAAACAAGACACGAAGATAATAAACCTTATGATCCTACTTTGGGGGGTGGCTCTCATATCTTGTATCCGGGCCTTTATTAATCATCTTTACGGCCCGGTTACTAAGCATCAATAGGCTGGCGGCAAAAACCTTTTTCATGCATCATATTTTTTCCGGTTTGATATTCGCGTGCTCATCTTCATGTGTGGTTTTGCAAACGATTTTATAACGGCTAGAAAGAATACTGGTGCCCTTCTATTAAAATATCCCCGAACGAACACACTGTATTCAAAGCCCCGGGAAATATTGATGCAAATATACTTCCAAGGAAGAAGATAATATGCGGGGCAAGAGTCAAGATTCCGGGGAGAAACCTTGAGTCTTGGATCCGGCTCATTGAACTTCAAGATCGCAAATACTGGCCAGATGACTGAAGACTCAAGGCTCTAATCCAGGAACTGCAATCCTCGAGTTCCCTACAGGCTGCCGGCCCTTACATGCCTCCCCCAAACAAAAAAACCCCGAAAATCAAGTTTTAGGCTTCGGGCCTAGGGTTTCAGGTTTGGGAACTATGGGCGGTTTTGATATGTGGGGCTCCGGAAGGCCTGTACCGGGCCGTTTTTTTGAAGCCATCAAATCCCAGACACGAAACCTGAGCCTGCCCCAATCCCTATAAGCCCTAGACCGTAAGCTTAGGGATTAGGGTGCAGGGTGCACAAGCCAAAAGGCGCACGACTCCCGATCGCAGTCTTGAAGCAGGTTTAACTTGAAAGGTGTGGCCATCCCCAAGTGCCATTCTCTGCGTCATCATCATGGGTTTAAGGTTTAGGGTTTAGGGTTTAGGGTTTAGGGTTTAGGGTTTAGGGTTTAGGGTTTAGGGTTTAGGGTTTAGGGTTTAGGGTTTAGGGTTTAGGGTTTAGGGTTTAGGGTTAATTGCCCCAAACCTTCAAATCGTGTGGGCCTGCAAAAGCGATTTGTTCACAGAAACATCCCGGAAAAAACTCCAAGGCTTGTTGCAGCCAGATCTGCGCATTTTCACCCGACAGCCAGCAAATTTCTCCCAGGAAAACTACATGCGACGCGCTTGAAGCTTGAGTCTTGGAGCCATATGGGGGGTTTACGAAGAATGGGACCCCAGTACTGACCCCCAAATAATAGGATTCCCTTATCATATGCCAACATGTGGATGGCGGCTGTTTTGGAGAAACCTCCCTCCAGACCCAGGTCTAGATACGAATCGCTCTGAATTTCTCTAGATCCCGTCTTTGTTCGATTGGCTAAATTCAGAACTTCAAGAATTGCAAGTAGCAATTTAACTGAAGACTGGGAAGCGAACGCGATTGATACTTCAATTCATGTAATTGTTTTGATTAGCTAGCGGTCTATTGTGAAACTGAACAAGCCAAGCTCGTAAGGGCTCATTTGCCTTATCTAGAAGGCTGCTATCTAGAAGGCTACTAAGCGCACAAGTGCGCTACAACCCATTTCGTAGATATAGAAATGCTTCAGCACTGCCTCTCCGAAAACATGTCAGAGACTCGCAGGCAGAACAGTTCGCAGGCAAAGTGCTGTTTTCTTCCCTCGCTGCAACTCAACGATCAACGGTTCAACGCGAAATCCACGAGGAACGCAAGGATGCCTATCAATTCAATAAGATGCCATAAGGTGTCACTGGAGAATCCATACATGAACCATCATCAACATTCATCAACCTTATCGCCTAGGCCGAATGCCATGTAACGGCTTGCTACCGGGTGTGATGCGGTGCGGCGATGGTAGACTGAAACACCTCTCCACGTGAAGATGGTCCACAGTCGCAGCATGTCGCAGCACCATGCATCACCAGTGCGTGGCAACGCCACGAAGTATATGGATGGAGTCATGGAGGATGACCAAAAGATGCTGTTCAACATCAAACACAGTGAAGGCCACCCCCCCCTCCTCCTTGCTACAATTTGCTACACTTCTGTAACCGCTGTCAGTGGTCTGCGACCCATGCGGTGCGGGGACTGACCCTGCACAGTGAAGCAGAGCTTCTGCCTGCAGTGTCTGAGCTAGGCCTTTTTTGCAGGCACTCTAGAGAACTCACCTGCAGGTAACCCGCCTATTTGGCGAATCACCACGATATCTCCGAGCTGAGGAGCGCTTATGACGCGGCTACAGTCGACTTTTGGTAAGGATTTCTGCCACTCTGATTGCCCCCTCACACTCTGCTGCAGTCTCCCAGCTCCTTCAGATGCGGTCAACTTAGCGGACTTAGCGTCTTCTGACTCTTCTGACTCTATGGGCTTTAAAGCGAGCCGGCTGGGAGTCTGCAACCGGCACCTCTCAAGCCCCTTTGGGGCCACCGTCGGGGCCGGCCCCCACATCCAAATCAAAACTCAGACGAGGGACCCGCACCAACACGGGCACGTGCGGTATTGAAAATGTGATCGTTTTTGGACAATCCTGTTGAAACGCGCGCCAGCAAGCGCATCAGCGCATCAGCTGTCCACTACAGAGCCGTCACCCAAAGTAATTGCTCAGAGGATAGCAGGCGCGAGATGCTCTTGGTTAGGACCTGCAAGTCATAGGATCCAAACCGGGGGGCCCAAGGCACTGACGGTAAGGTGTGGTGGACCCCCCTCAGCTTCCGGCACCGGCCACGAAAAGCGTGACCATGCCTACGGAATCTCCTGAAGTATCGCTTTCGGCCTCGGATGCAACTTCTAACCCCCCCATGCCATCGAGTCAGATAAGACACAACCTCCGAATGCCGAAGGGACTAAGCGACACATAGAATACCAGCAACGACTCCAACCACAAAACCCCCGTGCAACTGCAAAGCATCCAACAATCGACCCACCCATACTGTGCTCCATTTACTCACTTGCCAGGGCTGCCGCTGGTGCTGTAAAGCCCAGTCTCCACCTAACACCACAGCACGAGGGCGCCGCGTGTGCCAAAAGAGAAGCCGGCAACTCTTCAAAATCTCCAAGCGGTCCAGGGAACGAAGGCCAAGGCCGGCACGATTTCAGCAGACCCGGTGAATTCGGGGTTTCCTCATCCAAACAGCCTGTCATGTATGAAAGAGTACAACGTACAGGTGATTGTGAAAACACTTCATGCCCTGTTCACACAAACAAGCTCTAGAGGCCTACATGCTGCAGGTGCAGCAGCATTGCTGCCAGGATGACCTCGCACATGGAGGCACTACATGAGACCGTTGCCAACAAACGACCTCTGCACCTTGCATCACCTTGCAGTGTACTTTGCAGTGTACTTCGCAGTGCTCCGAGGGCGCAGCTGAAGTCGCCAACAACAGTGTTATCCGCTTTGACTTCTGGGCGCTGGTCGGAGATGAAGGCAAGTAAGACCACATGATATTCGATCTCAGGGTTCCCAGGCGAGGTCGCGCAAAGTTGCCAATCTTCATACAAGAGGACATGATTCCACGCACTGGCCAGGGCACTGAGCTTCTCGCATCTGATCAAGAACTTCCTCAGTCTTTCTCGCGGCAAATTGGTCCGAAGGACTGCCAATGACAGCTCTGAATGTAACTATACTTCTAGCTGTGAATACAAGCGTATGTTCAGCCCAGAAGCTTCAGTATCGGAATTGGGAGTTGGCAACTAAGTGCCGGCCAAGAACGGCCCCCTCCTCTACGGGAAGAAGGCGCTGCGGAAGATCGGAGGCTGACCGAAGCACTCATCATAGGTTCGGCAGGTGATTATTCGCACCTCACCAGCATCGAGCAGGTACCTTTTTGCAACCGCGTCTTCCATACTGCGAAGGCTTGTCCAAGCTGCCGCGAGAAAGCAGCCGCTATTTTTATGATGTTACTGATGCTGCAGAAGACATTCTCTGGAGAACATCATATTCGGATTCATTGAAATCCCGAAGACGACAGCCACTCGGCTTGCCGGAGTTGTTGACGTTGGTCGCATCTAAGAGGGTTCTTGTTCTTCTGATAGACTTCGAAAGGGACAAGCATGGAAAAGCCATCAAGCTGCCGGAGGCTCAGGACACAACTGCCTCCGGGAGGTCCTGTCAAAACATGCACCGAGAGCCCCTCAAACTGTACCTGACTAAACCATCCCTGATGCCCAAATGCAAGGCATCAAAGCCAGCAGCACATGTAAGCGGGTGATTTTGGATCCTGGCACTCACATGAGATCATGAGCCTTGGCAGTGCATGGGCCAGCACTGGTCATGAAGGGTGACTCCTTGAAGCACACCTGGCCCCAGATTGCAGCGTTTCCATACGGAGTGCACGCACATCACGTCACGGCACCACCAGGATTACCAATCCGGGCCGGATGCGCGGTTCCCTCGGCATCTGTTCTGAGACCTGGGGCGACCTGCGCAGAGGCGGGGGCAAACGTCGCAGAGCAGCGTGAGCAACACTGGCAATGCACCTTCTCGTAGAGCTTCTTCTTGCCAACCTAAGAACACAAGTCGTCTCCCAACAGTCCCAACTACAACTCACAACATCTCACAACTGGCCTTGTTCGGAGTGGCTGCCTGGCCATGTTCCTCGTCGGGCATCTCGACCTGAGAGTACTCTGGCAGCGCGACTGTGCACGGGACCATGTCCTGCTGAGCCCTGCAATGACACGCTCGCCGATTTCAGCGTCCGCCGGAGCCTGGGCGCGGGATCGTTCTGCTTTGCTTTGAACACTTGCATTGCATGTGCCTCAACCAGCTTCAGCTCGGCCAACTCCGACTCCGGATCCTCAGGATCTGCCTTCTTGGATGCCTCAGGCAGGTCAGAGAGCGCATGGGGGAAGCGGGGGGGAGCTCTGAAAGGCTCGACAAGGAGCGTTCCCCCAACTTGGGCCCGAGCGCAAAGCAGCATGCCCTCAGAGGCCTGGGTAGCTCACATCAGCCCACCCAAAAATTGTCAACTCGCCGCAAAACTGCCCCCGCCCCTCGCCCCCAGAGCAGTTCAGGACACACCGTGCCGAAACTCAGCTGCAGCCATTTGAGCGCCTGGCAGTTCCTGCCATCTTACGGGCTTTCAGATTTGACCTGCAAAGGAATTGCGGTGTGTCAAAAGGATCTTGGAAAGGGCATGAACAGCACCTCCAGGAATTCGAAGACCAGAACAACCCCTCACAAATCCTGTTGTTTCGGTCTCCTGAAAAATGTGTGCATGCTGCGACCCGCTTCACCTTTCTAAAATTTCTACCTTTCTGATAAGGATTTTGGTCCCGAACACCAGAGTTCTTGTACTGTTCTTGTGCTACGAGAAGCCTGAAGCTGCCTATCAAGACTCCACACGCTGAGGCATACAACTGGGTCCGAAGCACAATGACAACTTTCTTCCCAACAACTTGGTCTGGCTCCAAGAACCTGAGAGAAACTCAGGCCTTTCTGCTGTACATGCCCATGCCGTCACAGCATCAGACAGCATCAGACAGCAGCTTAGAACCTGGCTTGCCGATGCCTGAGCAAATCTGCCGTGGAGCCTTCGCAGCGTAGCAACTCACGCCTTGTGGACCTTATGGCCGTCTCTTAGACTCTAGATTTGAGCAGCTTGTTGCGCCTCTTCTCCCACATCAATCTGCTCCACTAGGAGCTTGTCGGAGTCCGGGTGCTTCTCGCAGCTGGCCAGCATTGCAGCAGTAGTAGTGGTCGTGGTAGTGGTACAGTCGGTACAGTGATAGGTGAGATAAGCCTCTTGATTTCGCCAACGCGGAAGTCGATCATGGAAACATCGCTTTGACCTTGTCAAGAAGGCAACAAGGGCACACGTAAGGCACTCATTGCTGGCTGACCCAGGTCTTGCCTTGCGAGGCTAGGCTCCCGGCCCTTTCTCACGACAGCCTGCTTCGATGGCAACACGACTGCGCTTTTCAGCCACAAAACCGAAGCATCAAATGTCTCAACATGGCTCAAGGGCGCTCGATGCCTGAAAGCTGCGTCGCTGGGCTACCCTGCCAAAGAAAGCAGTCATTCGAGTCATAGACATCACGGAGATCCTATTAAAAAACCGTCCTCCCAGCCACCAGGGTTGCCATTCCCAGGCTCGCAAGGGCACCCTGAGCGACCTCAGGTGGCAGCAAATCTCCGAGCTTCTTGCGAAGGCCCCGCAAAGCCAACACTGTTCTGACGTTCAGCATTGTTGCTTGCTATCTTGCTCAAAGCAGCGGAGACGTGGATCCTACGCTGCGCTGGGTGATACGAGCTCTGCTGGCACTCACACACGGCAATCTCGAACGAGATGCAGCGGATCTACCCACGGACGGACCGTGCAGATCAAGACGGCATTCTTGTCCAGAGATGATGAGTCCTGTCCCCCTGGCATCAACGAGGCCTGCAGATCCTCCATCCCCAGCACTGCGACCGCGGAGAGAATGGTGGCATGTGGTGGCGATGGTCTTTTGTCGTCTTGCAGGAACTTAAGGAATACACCATCATCGGTCATTGCCATGGTTTCTGGGCCAGCCAGCCAAGCACAGCCTCGTCACAAGCCACTCAATGACAACTTGTTCTGCGCATAGATCGACCATGCATTCTGTGCATCGACAGAATACGCAGTAGACATGAGAATGAAACCCTGCTCCTTGTTCACTGCCTCAGGGTTCTCATCGTGTGGAATATGCCCTGCAGCAACAATCTCGAAATCCACGTTGTCCCGCTCCTGCCCAAGACAGTGATGTTTTCCTGATGCCCCACCGCCAACAAACAGCAGAACACCCTTCAACAGCAATCCTTGGCCAAGCGCGTGAAGTAAGTACCTACGCCCCCCGTGATGGGCGTCAGGCCATCTTGGCTGCCCCAAACGACCTGCGAATCAAGGTGCCAATAGCACACTCAAGCTCTGAGAGCAAGTGCACAGCAGAAGCAGTGCAGCTTGCCGTGATCAAGGTGCCAATAAATGAGCAGTGGGGAGAGCCTCATTATAAGCGCGTTCATATGGAAGGCGCTGCGATGCGCTGCACTGACCATGCATTCTGGAAGCAGCGGAGGACAGTGGAATTTGCCTTGATGGGAAAGGAATCGAAGTATGGATCCTCGGCAATCTCCATCGGAGTCCTTGGAACAACGGACACTTGAGAGATGGAAAAATGTGCGCGTGTGAGAACAAAAACAATAGAAAACAGGAAACGTCCCTCGGGACCGAATCGAGCAGCGGTCCAGGGTCACCCGTGTAAATCTGGCGCAGCACCTCAACGGCCCCCGGATCCTCCGCGGGCGTCACCTGTACAACTTGTTGTTCTGTTCAGGGTTTAGGGTTTAGGGTACAGGGTTTTCACAAGGGTTTAGGGTTAGGGTCGAGGGTTCTGGGTTTTGCGTTGATTCGTGGGACAAGGTATGAGATAAAGCAGTGTGCAGGAAACAAGGTGTAGGGCCTTTTAGGTCTTAGGTCTTAGGTCTTAAGTCTTAGGTCTTAGGTTGTGATTTTGGAACACACCCTGGGATGCTCAGGTTAATGTTTCGGATGTCACCCTCACACCCTCCAACTGCAGCTAAGTCACAAAGCTGCTGACAATCTCGGCATCCGCGGCCGATGGATTCGTGGGGTAGAGGCTTTCGAGAATGGGGCCAACCTGGGGGCAGGCGTGATCGAACCATTGACGGAAGAAGCTGCGTTCAAAGAGCTACCAAGCTGGGCCACCGTGTCGGCCGTCGCGTACTTCGAAAAGAGAAAGTCTAGAACGGGCGACTTGAAGACGAAGTCCTGAGCTGCTGCCCTGAACATGAAGCCCGACCCCCATGTCGAAAACAAATTCAGACCAGCAGCCACCAAGCTCAGCACGAGTCCAGCGAACCACTTCTGCAATCCGTCCATGGGTGCCTTGAGCCTGAAACTTGCTTGTGCGACAGCTTGATCCCGAGGGCTTCAAGAAAGCAGACGCGAAAAACAAGATACATAAGGGAATACAACAAGAGGCCCCTTCCTGGGAACCAGGCATGTTCTTGTTGTTCATGCCGACGGCGCAGTTGAGCATGACAATCCTCAAGGAAGAACGCGCCCCCACTATGGAGAAACTGATGGGGGGTCATGAATATAAGCGCGACCGCTTGACTCGATGTTTTTGAGTTCGGGAAACCTCGGAGCGGCTCGAGGGGGTTGTGGGGCGGAACAGTTGCGGAGCAGGGAGGCGAGTTGTGGTCTGTGGAGGCTCGGCGATGCCCGCCAAGATTCCAGTTGGGCCTTTCGCACGCTAAAAGCTCCCCGAAAGCTCGTGAGCCTTGCGTAATGAGAACTTGGGAATGTCATATTGCTTGGTCATAGTCACCCGCTCCCCCCCGTCAAGGTTGTGCAGGCCGCTGTCGGGTGGGCTTTTAGGCAACCACGGGAAATCTGACCAGCTTCTTCATGAAAGTACAAAAGGCGCATCCGAGTCGGAATCTGCGAATACCGAGCCTGAAGCTGCGACTGACAGCGGATGGCAAAAAGTGCTTTGGGATTGGCGGCACGCTCCACGAAACTTGAGCTGCTTGTAAAAAGTGCGGGGCTGCCATTGTTCCGGGGAGGGTCTTCACTTTCCTCTGCCGCGGGAAACCGGCAGCGCCGGGTGTGACCATTATGACCATTAATATGCCGTCAATTCCTGAAGGGGGGTCTTTGAACCGTAAGTTTGCCTGTCCACAGTTGCAGGGCAGGCCGCCCTTTCGCTTGGCTCATCTTGCGGGCAGCCACCAAGGAGATCAAGCTGCCGAAGGAGTTTCCAACCAGCACGACCTGAGGAGTCCGGACATGCTTGGGACTCAGGTAACTGCGCGGCTCGAGGCACAAGGAGTACAAGAGGCATGAAAGGAATCAGATTTTTACTTCATCCTGGGGGCATCCGGCTTTGAACCATGTTCAAGTTCCGAGCAAAAGTCGACAACCTGCACGAGATCAGGTCGAACAGCATACACTTGCGAAGAGCCCTGACGCGCTGCACGAGATGTGCCTGCGTAGCCCAGAGCTCGATGCTGTAGTCAATGTTTGGCTTTTCAGAGAGGCCCAACCTGTCTCAAAAGTGTTCCATGTAACATCTGCAACTTTGCGACCTCGAAGAGAATATGTTTGGGCACGTGTAGACCGCTAACGACCAGAAAAGATGCTGCAAGTGTTTCCTGGGAGCCCTAGGAGGTCGATAGCGTGCACTGTGTAGCCCGCTGAAGTCAGAGCTGGCACGATGCGGCGCCAGTACTCAATGGACCCACCAAATCCTCGGGGGGATACCCTAAACCCTACACCCTGAACCTAAACCTTAAACCCTAAACCCTAAACCCTAAGAAGGACTGGTGGAAACTCTTGGGGAGGCATTTGTGTGCACACGCTGTCCATGAACAAGGACGATGTGAGGACGACCATCGCGTGGACTTTCGTCAAAAGTCACACGGCGGACACGATAACCATGCCAGTCCTCAGGCTTAGGGCTTAGGGTTTGGGGTTTGGGGTTTAGGGTTTAGGGCTTAGGGCTTAGGGCTTAGGGTTTAGGGTTTAGGGTTCAGGGTTTAGGGTTTAGGGTTTCAGGTTTAAGGTTTAGGGTTCAGGGCTTAGGTTTCAAAATTTACGGTTTAGGGTTTACGGTTTAAGGGAGCAGCATCTCTTACATTCGTAAAAACAAGCAAGAGAGACCTGGACAAGGATCCATCATCTGAGCAGAACTTCCACGCACGATTCTGCGGTCTCGTTCAGCTGGGCGTCTGCGCGACCTGCAAGGCATCCCACACCGATCTGCTCTAGGAAAGTTTCTGTCTTTGAAGGCATGCTGGTAGACATGCATATAAGCATATACATGAATCAACGACCTGCCGATTGTGCCCGTGGCGCCGCAGGCTCCTCCTGTCCACTATTCAACACACATCCATACCTATCCCGGGAAGCCCTCACCGTGCGATGTGAAACTCGCATGTCCTGCCAGAAGCCAGGGCCATGCAGTTGAGCTGCGTTCCCCCGTTCTGACGGCTGCTTGCTCCCATGGCCGTGCCGGTGCCCTTCTGGACGAACTCTTGGTCGCGACCTGCCGCACCTTGTGATCCAGGACGTGTTCATCAGTGCCTGAAAGTACTTGAACCAAGTTTGAACCGACCCTCTTCACAACTCCGAGATCTGGGCTTCAAATGGCCAGCTGCGAGGTTCAGGCAAAAGGAGCGGAAAGCTGTCGAGACGAGTTGGCCACATGGCAGCTACAAACCCGGATCTTGGCGCCTCATAACTGAGCTACAAAGCTTGCGGCGCACACTTTGCTTATGTAGCGCAGACAGCATTGGAAAACGGCTGCTTGATAAAACATACACGGCACCCACTGAGGCACATGCGCTGTTGGCAGTCGCCGTTCTCTCCCAAGCCGTGGTGGCGAGGCGCGTTGCGCGCAATGGTTGTGAAACCTCGACAGGGGAAAGGCAGGATCATAAACGATCACCGACTGACGACAAAATCTGGAAGTGAGGACGCAACCACACTGGCCGAAAGTGGTCGGCTAGCAAGAGCAAAGCATGGCAAACCTTCAAGGTGGCAAAAAGACTGCGCGTCCGCTGCGCGCATATCACGTGCCACGCCTGCGTTTTGAACGCACAGTCGCCGCAGCGTGAACAGCGTAGTGGCCGCACAGGAGACCGCCTGGGCACCATCGTTCGGATATTTGGAACACAAACGTTCACCACAACACTGCAAGTCGCAAGCTGCACAGGGCGTGTTCTGCATAAGAATTAGGGCACTGACAAACAACAACGGCCTGCGTACGGCTACCTGAACACGAAAAGCACATGAATTCTGTACATTGCTTTAGCAACTTTATCTTTCCCAAACACGATGCCGACATCAAGGTTCCCATCGCTGGGACATTCTGTCAAATCGTGCCGAAGGTCACAACAGTTGAGGTTGAGGACCCGACCGGCATATTGAATGTGTTGTGCATCGCTCGGCACCAAAAACTCACGTTGAGAAGGTCCCCTATGGCTGAACGTACAGCTTGCCGTGTGCCTGCGAAAGATAGAACCCTTGTGCTGATGTGATTTGATCCGCAAAACTTACAACAGCAATAGCAAGCGCAAACCGCAACAACAAAGCTCTGGCCAATTCGCCCGTCACGACAGAACAAAATTCAAAAAACACCTTTCGATTCCTCTGTGCTTACCCAAAAACACCGCTCTTGCCCAGGGTGCTCTCAAAAAAGCCACATGTTTTGTGTGTCTCACACAGAGCAACACGTATGCTCACCCCCACCCCCCCCCCCCCCCCCCCCCCCCCCACACGTGATGTAATGCGAACGTCACATTTATACTTTGGGTGAGAATCTTCGAATTCTTACTAGCCAAGAGCATTTTCAGTCAGCAGAAGATTTCGGGCCCCTGTCCCTAAAGTGTTTATGTATAAGGGGGTCCGATGAGAACAATAACAGTTGACAGTTGCAAAATCCGGCTGGCTCAGGGTCCAGAATATTTCTGCCGATTGTGATCGTTTTGAGTTGCTGAGAAGTTTCTTCGTCAAAGCTGAGCAACAACTCCAGAGGCTTGGCGATAGCTGTGGCTGAGACAAAGTCGTGTTTGCTACAAAAAGCTTTGCTATCAGACATGCTGAAAAGCCGGCTGCCTTTAAGGCTTAAGATAACATTCTCTGACGCTTCAGCCTGTTCAGGTCCTGGATGTTTGGACGCTGCCAGGGAGCTCAGCGAAGCCGCTTCCTTACTTACATTGGTGGTCGCAGAATTGGAAACAAAGCGGCATGGCCCAGAAACCTTTCCAAAACACAAACAAACCATCTTGATACTCGCGCTCCATTGCCTGACTGTCCTCCTGCGGGCCGGAGCAGACCCGCTCTGACGGAGGAGCCTGAGTCAGGCTCGGACTAGGTGACCGTGATTCCAAAGAGGAGCTGGTGGCCATCCTGTCGTCCTCTTTGGCCGGACTTGTTCTCTTCTTGAGCAGGTGCGAAGAGCTAGTTCTGGTCCAGCCAGTTGTTGCTGTCCACCAAAACCATCACGCGAACGCGAAGAACCACTCTACAGACCCTGCTCCGCCGCTGCCTGGCCGGCTTTCCACCACCCGGATATTGAAGAAAGAGGCTACTAAACTGGCTGCGGTGCCTGGTTTTGCTTCCAGATACATTGGCAACCTTCCGCGGAAGGGAAGCCATCACCGGCCTCCAAAGTTGGTGCTCCTTCTCCCCTCCTGCAGAGGGATGGCGCTGCGTTCCTTCGACGGACGACCCGGCCTTGGCGCCAGCCGGAAAGGGGTCCTGGCTATCTACCGAACCCCAGCGCAGGCATCTGCGGCAGAAGCTGCTGACGTCATCTAGTAAGATCAGCCTGAATGTCATGCAGAGTTCCAGTGCCTTGGGAGCCGAGCGCGCGAACGCAGCTTCAAAAAAGGCACCTCCTACAATACGCAAAGGGAGTGGCGTGCTTGCCTTGTTTTCTTTTGAAATGGGCGCCTCTTTACCACATCAGCAGCACAGTAGGCCGTTCTTGTGGGACTCGCAACTAAGGGTGAAACAAAGATCTACGTAGGCCAAGCAGCGACAAGGACCAAACAAACAAAAGCACAGCAACAAGCACACAAGAAAGGGAGGGAGCCTGGCGCATACTAACAGTGAGACAAAAGCCCCTCTCAGTACTCGAGGAAGACGACGCAGGATCTTTCGAAGATGCACATTGATCCCACAGCTCTGGCTCGCAAAGCCGCAAAATGCGGTGTAAGGCACACGCAGGAGTGGAAGTCACATGGTGGCCCATCAAGAGCAGGGCTTAGATCGCCGGGAGCACATCTGTACAAGCAAACCGGCATTGCAGCCACACAGCTCGAAACAGCGTTGAGGGAAAACCAATACTTGCGCATCCTCCTAAAACAAATCCGCTTTTCCAGCAGAATTGCATGGGCAGCCTCTCCTCATTGCACCGGCCATACAGGGCTGCGTGGAAAGACGCCCACACTGCCAGGCGGGCTGCCCTGTTGGGACTCCAGGCTGGTAAACATCCGCATAAAAACGCCCTGAACTCGAGCTGGTCCCGGCTCTATTCACAGGACAAGCTATCCCACTGACGCTGACCTTGCCCATTTCAAGGATAAACACCAGGCAGGTTCAAGGCGCGAGGTTGAGCTGCAAGATAGCAAGGTTAGTAACTTGTATTCCCCTGTGCATTCCGCATCTCGCCATTCGAGGAAAAGTGGTCAACTGCTGGGCGGCGACTGTCCAAGTGACAGCATCGAACTGGTGGGTTCCATCACCCAGGCAGCAGGAGCGATGATTGAGACCTGTGAAAAGGCATTCATGTTCAGGTCCACTGCACGCCCAGACCTCAAGAAATTGCGGCGTCACTTGTGTCTCTCCTGTCCAGGCGAGTTGTAAGGCGTGGAACGCTTTTCTTCTAGGAAAGCGACGGGCAGCCGGAGGCACATCGTCGACCTACCTGGGAGGTCCGAGCCGGGCGTCTCAATTCTTGACATAAGTTCCGACCCCAAATTCAGTGCCGCAAAAAGCTTCTTTGCCATCTTCGCACTGCATGCCAAGATCGAAACACCTGAGTTCAAGCAATAAGCACTGAAAAAAAAAAGGAATCCGAGTTCATATGGTGGCGGAGTTTGTGGAGTTCATGTAAGCGGAGTCGGCGGAGTCCTTCCAAGGTGGCATTCCCCTTAGAACGGCAGCGGAGTCGAGGTGAGCCCGTTTTAAATGCACAATGGTTTTTAAACCGGGGAAAACACGACTCCGCGACATGCTCCATCCCTCGTGCACCAATCCTGCAAAATCTACGCTAAGATTCTACGGGGTGGGGGGTAGTCTTGCCTTCTGAATTATCGTTTTAAGAGCTGCAAAGCTGCGCAAAAGTTGCTCTCCGTCTGCAAGTAACCTTAGAAATCTCACAAACGCCACCTGACATCGAGCCCATTTCATGCGCCCCAAACTGACGCATTTCTTAAAACGTCCATCGCAGTCGCTCTAGGTTCACGATTGCTCCGTTAATCGTCAGCCGACACCGTGCCAGGTAAGGCGACGGTCAGGCCGGACTAACGCTCAATTGTAGATGAAAGAAAGGAACGACACAAGAACTCAAACACAGAATGCCGCCTTATGAGAAGCGTCAGTAAACAGGCATAGCTTGTCACGCTTCAAAGCAATTCAGGAGGACAACTCCGCATAGAAACTGAGC